AATTACTTTCGTTGCTACTTCATAACTATCGTTTTGCTATTGTTATGAATGGCAATGTAAATATCTGATATGCAGGATGTATTTTCATTGTTAAAAATTGAACATAATTAAAGCATAGTGACTAACCACAAAATAATATGTAATTATATATTGTGAACTATTTGTGTGTTTTCCGATGGTCTTAGGCAACCCCTGTGAAGGGGCGGTTCAATCCCCAAAGGGGTCACGACCCACAGGTTGAGAACCGCTGATCTATACTCTTTAAAGAGACTGAAATTGTGTTTTGATCTTTAGCTTCATGTTGTTTCAAAAGTTAAGCTTCTCATTTATTATATGTTCTCAAGGTCTTTGTGTTTATAAGATGAGGTTGTAAAATGTTATTTCTGCTTTTTGTTTGTTTAGAGATGGATCTTTACATGTGGCATGCACAGATCAAGAGACTGGAAAATGTGAAGCAATCACGATTGAGGTGGCGTCCTAGCATTTTAGAGAAACCCTAAATTTGTACAACCAGAAGGTCAACATTGTTCGGTTTTGTTTATAAGTGATGTTTATATTAAAGTCCTTTTTATGCAAACTATATATTGTTTCTATTAAACAACAATATATTGGTAAGTGTTGGAATTTTTTTTTTTCATTTGAGAGAAATGACTAATAGTGGAAAATGTAGGCAACATTCCCATCATGAAACTACTTAGAACAAAAGTCAGTTTATTGGAGGAAATTTTACTAGGAATTTATTGTTGTAAGTGCTTTTTCCCTTAGGACTTTCCATTTTTAAAACTTTTCTTGATTCTTGTTTGATGTAGAACAATTGAAAGTCCTTGATATTAAATGAAAAAAACAATTAGAGGCCCATATGCAACAAACCATTAAAAAATTAACACAAATTCACAAACTCAACAGTTGTGTACATAAGAAGTACACTTACAAGAAGAAGTTTACAAGTCTGAATACCAAATTGTTAGCAGTGGCTTTTCAGAGAGAAATACAAAGGAGCAAATTTTAACTTATTTCTTTTTGTAACTTAATGAATAGAAACCTATTTTTCTTTTGAAATTAAAAGTTTTGAGAGACCTAGATATATATGTCAATTTACCAGCGAGCACTTCCTAGGTGCACTAAGATACTCTGGGCTACTAATGAAAACATGTTTCTCAAATAAAACTAATGAATCAGATTTTCCATATCAAAGGATCTGCCGGAAGGTTAGCAGTATCCACCAGACTTACTGCCAAGGGGGAGTTAACCTTCATTCCTGCCCTCAGTTCCCGGCAGAGCAGACAAGAGGAACCTGATGTGTGTTTCCACTATTTAAGTGTTATGGGTTTGCTCTGTTCTTATTTTTGTATGGAGTTATATGGCATTGCTCTTGTTTCTAAAGATAAAGAAGCTAAACTTAAGTTTTTTCATAATTATTACACAGCAAATTATTGGCAGAACCATGAAGACAATGCAGATACATTTAAATCTTCGAGATCTAAATATAAGAAGCAATCTCAAAAACACAACTTTTATTTTGACTTAATATTGTTTCCCAAATTTAAAATTTTGGAAATAAAATACATATTTCCCAAAACTAGACACCTAAAAGTTCAAGTACTACATCTAAGTGTTTTTTAAAAATTCTTGAAGATTTTACTTTGGGTAATTGTTATGGGTTGGCAAATTGTGGCCTGTGGGCCAGGATCTAACGGCGTCCTGGTGGTGCAGTGATTAAGTGCTTGAGTGCTGACTGAAAGAGTAGTTAACCGAACCCACAGCTGCTCCATAGAAGGAGGATATACCGGTCTGCTTCTGGACATTTTAGCCTTGGCACTTCCACTCTGTCCTAAGCTTCAGCATGGATTTATCAGAAAGGGGTCAAGCCAGAATCTATCCCCCACCATTTTATCAATAAAGTTTAATTACAACACAGCCATGATCATTCGTTCAGGTTTTGTTTTGGATGGTTTTCATTCTACAGTGGCCACGTTGAGTAGTAACAATAGAGGCTATATGGCCCACAAAGCTTACAACATTTACTCTCTGACA